TACTACACGGCCTCGCGTGTCGGGGTGGTTATCATCGGGGTGGATTTTCTGCCCTCTAGGAGCGGACGCGCTGCAGGGCGACTTGCCGCTCCGCCAGGAGGGCGCCGAAGTCGCCAGCCTCGACGGCCTCGAGGAAGGCTCCAGGGGCTGCGGCTCTGCCGTGGCCGCACGCTCGTCCTCGGCCGAGAGCTGGGCGGCCAGCCGCAGGGCCGCCTGGCAGCCTGCGCCGAGGGCACCGCCGACGGCCACGGCAGGCGGCACCCGAACGCCGGGGCCCAGGCCAGCAGCAGCAGCAGCACCTGCTCCTCCGCCTGCTCCTGCGCTGCCCGGCTTCCGCCCGCCACGGAGGTCGGCAGGAGGAGGGCCGATGACGCCCTGTGGCAGCGGGGCGGGCTCGCGGGCGAGCGTGGCCTCCAGGGCCCTGCACCAGCCCGCGAGCTGGCCCCCCGCCACGAGCTCCCGCGCCTCCTCCAGCCTCGCCTCGCCTCGCCCTCGAAGAGCGCAGCGGCGGAGGCTGCGACGAAGCCCTCCTCGGCAGCCGCCGCAGCGCCGCGGGCGTGCCACGCTGCGTTCCGCCTCTTGCCCGCGGCCCCCGGGGCCCGCTTGCCGGCCGCGGCCAGGCGGAGGGCGGAGCGGGCGGCGGCCCCGCGAGCCTGCCACGTGCCTGCCCCCCCCCCATGGCCCCCCCGCAGGGAGGAGGGAGGAGGGAGGAGGGAGGAGACGACGACGACGACGACGACGACGACGACGACGACGACGACGACGACGACGACGACGACGACCGCCTTGGAGCCTGGCGGCCTCGCAAGCCGCCCGAGCCCCCCTTCTCGCGGCTCGCCTCGCCGCCGCAGACCCCAGCCGCCAGGCCTCGGGCGCGCGAGGCGCCTTGGGCCGCCACCCCGCGGGGCCGCCCCCGGCAGCCACCGCCTGGCCGTCCCTGCTCCTCCTCCCCCTCCTTCTCCCCTCCTCCTACTCCTCCTTCTCCTCCTCCCTCCTCCTCCTCCTCTCCTCCTCCCCTCCTCCCTCCTCCCCCTCCTCCTCCCCCCATCCTCTTCCTCCTCCCCTCCTCCTCCCCCCCCCCTCCTCCTCTTCCTCCTCCTCCTCCTCCTCCTCCTCGTCGTCGTCGTCCTCCTCGTCTTCCTCCCCCCTTCGTCGTCCTCCCCTCCCCCTCCTCCTCCTCCTCCTCCTTCTCCCCCCTCCTCCTCCACCTCCTCCTCCCCCTCCTCCTCCTCCTCCCTCCTCCTCCTCCTCCTCCTCCTCCTCGTCCTCCTCCTCTCCTCCCCCCTCTCCTCGTCGTCGTCGTCGTCCTCCTCTCTCCTCCTCCTCCTCCTCCTCCTCCTCCTCCTCCTCCTCCTCCTCCTCCTCCCCCTCCCCTCCCTCCTCCTCCTCCTCCCCCCATCGTCGTGCTCCTCCCCCTCGCTCTCTTCCTCCTCCTTCTCTTCCTCCTCCTCCTTCTCCTCCTCCTTCTCCTCCTCCGCCTCCTCCTCCTGCTCCTCCTCCTCCTCCTCCTTTTCCTCCTCCCCCCTCGTCTCTCCGCCATCGCGGGGGCGGCGACGAAGGGGGAAAGGGCCAGAGCCCACCCTCGACGCCAGCCTGGGAGGGGAACGGCAAGGCGCCAATCTGGCGCCCAGGCTGGCTTGGGCCAAAATGGCTGCCATACGTATGGTATCCCGAGTGGTATCTCAGATGGTCTCCCGTACGGTCTCACGAATGTCGAAGAAGACAAAGCCACATAAACATACACTTTTGGCGCTCCGCTCGGATTTCTCGGATCAGCGCTGGGCCCCCCTGGCGGCGCCTCCGGCGCCGCTCCTGACGCGCTCCTCCGCGCGCCAGGGAAGGGGGTTCCGGCGCAGATCAAACAAATCCGCGCGGAGCGTCAAACGTTTCTGTCTATGTGTTTTTGTTTCGTCTTCTCGAATGGTGTTCCGCATGGTCTTCCGTCTAGTCTTCCGCACGGTCTCCCATACGGTCTCCCGTATGGTTCTCAAACGTGGTTTCTCGTATGGCGCCCCGCAGGTACAGACAGTACACTTCGCCTTTGCTATTTGGCTGTTGGCGCTGCGTTCATCTCCACCATCCCATCCAGCAGCGATGCCCATGCTCGGAAACTGGAACACATACAAAACCCATGGTGGTTTGTTTTTTCAATCCCAAGACTTGTTGAGGGTCGGGGACGAAATCGGGGTGGTGTGGTGTATACTGTCCCCCCATTTTCCAAGGGAAGCAACGACAATGTATACACCAGGATCCTGTATACACCAGGATCCGCATTCCTGGTGTGAATTTCAGCGCAGCGTCGGAAAAAGCGTCGGTGTGTAGAGCTCGTTTCCCTACATGCGAAGTGCATCAATGAGGAACATGGAGGAGTATGCATTTGAAGAAAGAGCTTGGCCGGAGCCGTCACACCCACGCTCTTTGGGGTCCTCTTGAGATCTTCTCGGCGCGGGGCGGCTGTTATCTCTTGAAGGGTGAGCAGGAAGGAAGAGGGCACGGATGACAAGGAGCAGGAGGAGAAGGAGGAGAGGAGGAAAACGAGAGCCAGGAGGAGCAGGAGGACAAGGACGAGGACACAGACGAGGAGGACGAGGAAGAGGACGCAGGGCAAGGACGATGCCGACGACGACTAGAAAAAGGAGGAGATGGACGACAATAAAGATGAGGATTACTGGAGCTATGTCTGGGTATTCGTGGTACCCTCTTGGGATCTTCTTGGGCTCTCTCGGGACCCTGTTGGGGACATCGAGGAGGACGAAGAGGAGGAAGAGGAGGAGGAGGAGGAGGAGAAGGCGGACGAGGAGGATTACGCCCAGGGCAAGAATGAGGATGAGGACGAGGACGATTAGGAGGAGGACGATTAGTAGGATGAGGAGGAGGAGGAGGAGGAGGACGATGGCGAGGAAAAACGAAAACGAGGAGAAGGACGACGACGACGACGAGAACACTTTTGGAGTCTCCTTGGGGTCATGCTGAGGCGTTCTTTGGGTCCCCTCGGTGCTCGCTTGGGGCCCCATGTGGAAGGCTCCGTGGTCTTCGTGGGGTTCTCTTGAGGTACCCTGGAGCCCTCTTTTTTTTGGGGGGGGGGTCTCCTGGGAGCCCGGGAGGGCCAGCGGGGGTCGGGGCCGCCTCGTAGGACTAGGTCGGGCCTGTCCCTCTACAGGGGGAATACTCGAAAATAGTTTTAAAACATAGTCGGGGGACGATTTGTTTAGTATTGTTTGACCATGTTGGGGTATTGTTTGACGAATGTTTTGCATTGCTCGTCCAAAGAGTCCACCCGTCGGAGGACAGGCCCGGCTGAATCGCAGGACGTGGATCAAAAGGTGGGAGGGTACACGCAAGTCGTTGAAAGTTGGTAGTTTCGGATGCTCAGATCCCAATCAATTCCATGCGTCTTCTTACTTCACGGGCCAAGCGGTCTTCCCTCTAGCCTCATCTTTAGAGGGCGGTCGCAAGCCCAATCTAGTTACAACGCCTTCCCACGTCATGCTTCTGCCCACTCCTTCCGACCGACGGGGCATTGGCTTCCGCCTCCCCTCAGAAACACGTATATGTGCCTACTGAGGCGTTCTTGGGCGCTCTTGGGGCCGTCTTGGGGGCTCTCTTGACCCCTCTCGGGCCTCCCAATTCGGCCCATCCTCGGGCCGTCTTGAGGCCTCAGAACACCATCGGAAGCGAAAATGCGAGACTGCACACATCATTTTCATGATTTCTTTAGGTTTCTAATGGATGTTGGCTTCTTGCGGAGGTCCATTGTGGGCTCCGACGGCACATGGGCCGTTTTGTGGCCTTCTTGGGGCCGTTCGCTATACTGAAACATCTTATGTTATATTAAGCTATCTTGAAGGCCATCTTAGAACATCGCAGGCCCTCTTGGAGCCATCTTGGACCATCTTGGGTGCTCTAACCATTCCGTCCTGGACCCAACATACCTTCCTCCAGCGAGGGAGAGGGCACCATTCTCCGCAGGGAAGGAGGTTTTGGAAGAGGGAAGAAGGCGCTCGCTAGGGTACTCAATGATGTTGGCCTTATCGCATTCCAGCCTCCGACCAGCTCTTCAGGCCTCAACGTGGCCCCAAGAGACGGCCCAGAAAGGACCCCAAGAGGGCCGCATGAGAGATCTATGGTCAGTCACTTTGATTTAGCGTCCGCTGGGTTTGGCCCGACGCGCTCCGGCGCGACACGCCATCCACGTCGCTGTCTTTCAGGCGTCAAAGTCCACAGCTTGTCCGAGCGTCCCACTCCGAGGAGCAGAGCAACACGCCATCCGCCTGCAGGGCATCGAGTGTCGCCGCAGCCGCCGCCGTGACGTGCTGAGCACATACATCGCGGACGGGTCAGCAAGGGCCCCTGTAGTCGACGCCATGCTGGTCGCAGGACGGCCCCGCCGGGAGGGCTCAGGGTCCCAAGATCTACCGAAAACCAAACGACACCACCCCACCTACGGCCCTCCATGCTGCGCTACGGCCCATCGGGCGCCGTAGCGTACACCACGCAAAAACCCACGCCAGATTTCCTGGTATGCGCTGAGGCCCCTGGTGCCGTAAGTTGGGTGGTGTCGCTTGTTTCCTGGTCCACAGGATCCCCAGCACAGCCCCAACAGGACCCCAAGAGCCGGGAACGAGTCCCAAGAGGCCCCCCCCAAACCACAAAGCTCGAGGCTCCGCCCAACAAGGGTTTTCATTGTGGTGCATCGTCCTTCTCTCCGCGGTTGGCTCGGTGCGGCCGCCGCGCCACACTGTCAGCCACCTCGAGTCCAGAGGCAAGGGGGGAGTGGTGTGACGCGGGCAAGAGGAGCGGGGCAGACCCCCATCCCCGAAGGGCAAGAAGGAGGCGTTCTGTAAGAGCTGATCCGCCAAACCAGCTAATTACGTATGCCCTGAGGGCCAGAGATCACATGCTAGAGCAGGACGCGCGGCAGTGTAGGGACACCGTGGTAGACGAGAGAGAGGGCGAGGGAGGGAATGAAGGAGCCGAAGGAGGGGGGGCCTGGTCCCGAGGTGGATTATCAACCACTTCGCCCCGAAGAAGCCGGGCGAGTGGATCGATGCGCTCAGCAAGGCCGCCAAAGAGTTCCAGCGGACCCACGGGGGCTCGACGCACAGGCCTCGGGAGAGGAGTACCCAAGCACGACGCCCGACGTCGTGCTTGGCAGCGCGCCCAAAGGGGAAGGCAGTGGGGGCGGGCCTCCTTGGAAGGCTCAGAATGCCTCTGGTCTCCTAAGAGGCTTTCTGAGCCTTCTCCGAGGGCGCCGAGGGATTCTCAGAAGACCACATGCCTTCTGAGAAGCCCCGTCGCCCTCTGAGGAGGCCTGCCCCCTCTCGCTTCCCGTCCGCGGCGCGCCGCCGACAGAGACCGCCGCGACGTCGTGAGAACAGAGACACGGCCAGGCCGATCTCGACCCCACCGCCTGTCGCAGCTGCCCGAGGCAGGTCGCTGCGCCAAGGCCCCCAGGGGCCCAGAACGGGGCAGGAACGTCCGTCGTCGCAGTGTGTTCATGACGCCCGTGTGGGAGGACACCCCTTCCGTTCCACGGGGTGCCCGGCAGCGTGCCGAGGGGGGAATTGAGAGGGGGCAGACCTCAGAAGGCGGCGGGACTTCCCGGAAGCCCTCGCACCTTTTTTCCGAGAGGCCGCCCGCATCTTCGGGGAGGGCTCAAGAAGCTGTCCAGAAGGGCCGTCGCGCCGTCAAACCAGGACGTCGTGAGACAAATCACAACCAGGCCTTTCTATCTCGGCCCCCTCGCCTGCCGCCGCTGCTCGAGCTGGGTCGATGCGTGAGGGCCCCGGCAGGTCCCACAGCAGGGCAGAAGCGTCCGTCGACGCGATCAGGTCACGACGTCCACGTGGGAGGAATCTCACTCCGTTCCACTTCCACCGCTTCAGAGGCAACGTTAGGAGACGGAAAGAAACAGTCCCGCGATCTTTTTTGTGTATTGTTGTACATTTCTGTTCGGAGTCTTTTTGGGGCTCTCTTGATATTATCATGTATCCCCTCTGGAGCGCATTCTCTGCAGCAGCTTTGTCTATGGTCTATGGCTATGGCTGCTGCGGCTGGCACGTGAAGTTGCGCTCGATGTCGGACCGCATTGTCTGGCTGTGCCTGCGTGCTTTGTGATCCTTGTCCGTATTCATCCCATGGCATCTTTTTCCGATGTTGGACAAGTCCAGGGCGATTCGTAGAGCCAGACATACAGCCGATCAAAACCCCATGCAGCATGCTCCATCAAAAACAATGGCGGCCCAATATATAGGCATAGCCTTAGAATTGTGTCCTTAACTCCTGTTCCTGTGTCGGCGCGATCATTTCCCCTTCAGCGAGGTCCTGGAGTCGTCTGAGCACGCTGAGGAGGGAGAGGGGGATGGTGACCAGGAGGGGGCGGGGCCGAGGACGAAGACGCAACGGGTGAGTTAAGCACCGGGTGAGTTACGCGCCAGGTGAGTTAGGGGCCGGGTGTTTTATGCCCCGGGGTGATGGCATCTGGTTGGTTGTGAGCTGGATGAGTAAGTTGCGGGGTAAATTCGGCCCTGGATGAGCGAGGCGCCGGATGAGTCAGGCGCCGGCTGAGTTAAGCGCCGGGTGAGTTAGGTGCTTGGTGACGAGTTTGGCACCGTACGAGTTCGGCGCAGGGTGAGATAGGCGCCAGGTGAGTCAGGCGTTGGGTGAGTCATGCGCCAGGTGAGTCAGGGGCTGGGTGAGTTAGGCGCGGGGTGAGTCAGGCGCCAGTGAGTCGAGCGTCGGGTGAGTTAGGCGCCGGGCGAGGTAGGCGCCAGATGAGCCAGGCGTTTGGTGGATTAGGCGCTGGGCGAGTTCATCGCTAGATGGGTTCAACACCGGGTGAGGTAAAGATCGGGCCGGGTGGGTCAAAGATCGGCCCGACCCATATGGACATCCTGGCGAACCTTGCAGTGCCCGGCAGACGGCACTGGAGGGACGCGGTCGCCAACTTCACGGAGGAGACGTTCGTGGATTGTCACATCCCTGGCCCTCGCACGCGCCAGCGGTGCTGCAAGTGCGTCGACCGTCGGCAGGTCGGACCTCTCAACCACTTCCGCTTCTGGAAGGCCACGCACGGCCTGGCGGCCAACGACTGCGGAGCCAATGGCTACGATTCCAGGATGCGCGCGATCAACACAACGTCTTGCCAGGGGATGGCCTGGACTTGCCCAGCGCTGCCAGTGCCAAGCAGATCCGACAAACGCGCCAGGTGTACGAGTGCGTTTACGTGATACGGTTGATGTTTTAGATAAGGGTACCTTCGATAAGGAACCCAAGGTCTCGTGACTGATGGGCGGCCAAACGTGGGCCACTCATCTCGCCTAGAGACAATAAGGCATGCGCCAGGGTCTGGGCCCCAGAAAGACGTTCCTTATCCAATGCCGCCGCCGTAGACCGCGACCCCATCCACGGCTCTTCGGCGGCCGGCGAGTGAGGTGCCGACCACGGCGACGAGAAAAAGAAGGGCCGTGGTCGTGGCCACGGAGAGGAGGTCGCCACAGCCTCTTAAGCTTGGGGTTTTGCACGAGGGGGCCGCACCGTCCTCACTGGCCTCAGCCGTGGCCACGGTGGAGCAGGAGGTGGCGACCACAGCGACAAGAAGAAAAAGGGGGCGTGCCGTCCTCACTGGCCTCAGCCGTGGCCACGGGGGGAGCATGGATCTGTCCCGCGCTCCTGGAGCACGTGGCGAAGGAGGGAAGTGCGATGCTTCGGTCTTCGAAAAAGAACGTGAGGCCCGCGAGGAGCAGCGGGCCCTGCGGCCAGGACGCGGCTCGACACGCGCGTGTTGCTCCCCTCCGGTGGGGCCCAATGGCGGTGGCACGCCGCTCACTGATGATGAGTTCGAGCAGGGCGCCTATTTTGGCAGACAGCGAAATCTATTCCCATTCCCATCACCTGATCAAGAGCGTCAGGCACATTCAGTGGCCACTTGCATGTTTGCACGCGCTCGGCGGCTTACCGTAGGCTTGGTCGGAGCCGCGCTGATCGTGTGACCCAGGAGGTGTTTCAGATCCTGAACGAGCTCCACGTTGGCCAGCCCAGCCTCCACGGTGCCCACGTTCAGTCAGTCGCTGCGGGCCTTCAGCGAGCCCTCGACCACATCCGAGACGCGGTCCGACGACGGTTTGGCATGCCCCTAGAGAGATTGTCTGGTTCGGGAGCCCTCGAGGAGATCCGAGTTCTCAGCGACTGCGCTGGCGAGTTCGCCACCGTCGCTCCGCGCAGCTGTGGGGGCATCAACAGCCTCTAGCCCCAGTCAGAGGGTTTTGCTCGCGTCGTCACCGAGGGCCCTCAGAAGTAGCGCGCCGACCCGGCGCCGCGAGATCCCGAGCTGCGTTCCCGGATGTTGTGGATCCTAGTGCGTCGGAGTCTGATGGCAAAGTTTGCGGCGTTGGAGTGTTGTTCGTTTTCAAGGAGTCGGGGAATGCGCGGCTCGCCCCGGACGGCAGGCACGCGCCCTTGCAGGTCCAGGCCCTCGACATGGTTGCCTTCCCCTCCAGCGCGGGCTTCGCCGGGCCCCGCGCGCGCAAGGGGGGGGGCCCATCGCCGCGGCCGAGGTCGACCTCGCCGACGCCTTCGACGCCATGGCGTTTGCCCCGTAGTGCCGGCGCTTCTTCGCCCTACCTGGCGTTCGAGGTGGGGCGCCAGGTTTGAGCAGCGCAACGGGCGGGCGCAGCTCGGGGGGGACAGACGGCCAGCCCCTCGCCGACGGGCCGTTCCCGTTCCTTCAGACGCAGACATTGCCAGTCGACGCTGGAGGCCACAGCCCTGCAGGCGCTTCAGCTGGCCGTCGGCGACCTTTTCGCTGACTGCCGACCTGCGCCACAGGTGATTAGCGATGCGATCGATGCAGAGCGCGTGGACAGTCAGCCCGTTAACCGACCCAGAGGTGGCTGCAGCGGCCGCCGTTGTCATGAATTCCCGGCCCCGGGCGGCAAGTCTGCCGATCCATGGAGTGGAGCGCAGTTTTGCCGCCATGGCCCTGGGGTGACACTCCGATGGCAAGTTCCCGATCGACCATGGGCTTGATGCCCGCGCTGCAGTGGAAGCTGTGGCTTTCCTTCCTGCAGCTCTTCCAGAGGGGCTTCGCCTCGGGCGAGACAGTCGCGCTGGCAGTGTCCCACATTGCCTCGCGGGCCCCCGTCCGTCGCGAGCCTCTGGCCGGCGCTGTTTCCCAGCCCCGCGCGGAGGCAGCACGGCGCGGCTGTGGCTTTCATGCCTGCGCGAGCTGTGCAGGCGCGCCAGCCTAATCGTCTCCTGTCCCCGAGACACTGGCGCAGCCCTTGACAGTCGGCTGACATTGGTGGACTCATCCTGGCGGGGAGTCGGGGCCATTCAGAGAGCATCGTCGTCCGAGACGGCCCCCGAGCTATCGAGACGCAACAACAAATAAATATTCTGCGCCAGTCAAGAGTATCATGTGTCTCACCGGTTTCACGCTTTGAAGTCCGCGTTCTCCGCCGCCCCTTCCATGCCCCGGTCGATCCGCGACCTGGGCGACGGCGAGCGCGCGGGGGGCCAGGATGCCTCCAGGAGGTGGTCGAGTCGGATGGGGCGCGCATCGAGGAGAAGGAGTTCCCCGAGATACCGAGCGAGGTGCGGTCCGAAAGTTGGCACCCCGTCGCGTCGCATCGATGGGGCCGGTCCGATCATTGGGTCGTTCTTGAGGACCTTCGGATGGATGTTGACGACCGTCGCATTCTCTGACGTCTTTCCTCATCCAATCGGTGCGATTTGTGCTTGTGGCGACTGCTTGGGTTGAAGCTCGCTGAGGGGCAGCGAACGCGATCTGTGTTTCTGGGGCGACGGGGGAGAGGGCAATGCTTTTGCAGGGCAAGAGCAAGCATGAGCAACCCAATCGCCAACATGAGCAAACCTGAAATCAGAGCTTCTCGCGCAGGGCGGCCGGAAGGATTGCTGTTGACGGATCAAGCGCGCCCGCCGAGCGCGCGGGGATCTGGCCCTCGAAACAACGCTGCCCTCCCCAGCGACCTTCAATGCTTGGGGGCCATCCTGGCGGCCGCCGCGGGGCGCTCGTCGCATCGGGAGACGGGCTGGGTCCGTCGGCAGCTGGCGGCCCTTCCGCGGGGTAGCGGAGCGGCCTTCTGCTGGGCCCCTCAGAACGGAGCGCGGCAGATCGGGCTTCCCGAACATGTCCGGCGCAGGCTGTGCTTCGTCGCCCGCTCGTGCCAGCTGCCCCGCGCGCCGCGACTGCGTCGCCCGCGTCGGCGCCTTCGCTGGGCGCCCCGCCGACGAGGGGCACGCAGTTTTCGGCCCCCCTCCGCGGTGCGAGGAAGAGGCGCGCTGGCGCCCCGATCGGGCGAGCCGCCCCCTCCTGGACCCGGCGGCGACAGCGGCGCGCCCGAAGGTTCGAGCCCCAGGATCGCAGCGCCCGAGCCCAGCGGCGCCGCGCGAAGCACCCCGACGGGGTGGACTGGCGCGGCCAGGGCCCACTGCGGCCGGCGACCAGGTGGCGCTTGACAGCCAGGTCCGACGCGGGAGTTTCCATTCCTGGGCGGCGGCCGCGAGGCCCTCGGCGGCGAGCGCGGGGGGTCTGGAGGAGGCGCTCCTGGAGCACCTCCACCAGCTGTACCTCGACGGCCGCGAGTCGCCCCGCGAGGCGACGCAGATCGCCGCGGCGGCCCACTTCCGCCCGGGCCCGATGCCCAAGCTCGCCGGCCTGCCGAGGGCGCAGCGCGCGCTGAAGGGCTGGGAGGTTTCGGCGCCTCTGCGCGCACGTCTTCACCATACCCTGGCCCTTGGCGTCTCGGATGGCGAGCTGGATGGCCACGGGCGGCCCCCCGGGCGCGGCCCGAACCGCAGGGCCGGCCCTCATCCCCGACCCTCGGCCGCCCGAGGCGCTGTCGCTGCAGGCGCGGTCCGTTAGCGGAGGTCGATAGACCGCCTACCCTGACGCGTCGATTAAGGAACTGGCCGATATCGGTTCGCGAGAGGGCGTCTCGGCCGTCATTTTTGCGGGTCTGGGTCCGTCGGTTTCGGTCCCAGGCCGTTTGCAATAAGCGGAGGTTAATGAAAAGGAGGTCTGTCCACCGCCGAACTTCGCCTTCTGAGCAAGCGCTCCATCTTCCTGTTCCCGGCCGAGCTCGATGCCAGGTCGCTGACCGAGGACAGCGACATCAGCCCGCTGCTGGACAACCCCGAGCTCTCCTGGATGGACCGGGCGCTGGGCCGCATGGCGGAGCGCGCGGACGCCGAGCAGTCCCCTGTCTGCGCTGGGCACGGGGTCGCGGACGCGGGCTTTCCCGCAGTCGAGCGCCGCCCTGGGCCTCGACGTTCTGGCACCCTGGTGCTCTGCCAGCTGCGGCGCGGGGGGGCAGGCCTCGAGCTCCTGGCCCGCGCCCGTCGTTTCAAACAAATCGTGAGGAGGGTTTTTCTTAGTTTTCGGCCTCTCGGGGCCCTCGCCGGGCCTCAGGACCGTCAAAAAACGATTCGGAATGAAAAACCGGCCCCGGGGAAGTGGTCGGGAGGTCGGGAGCCCACGTCTCGAAAAAATCGAGACGTATGACGTCTGGGGGGGCATCGAGCTGCGCGCCCGCTGGGAGGCGTGCCGCAGCCCCAAGCAGTGCGCCAAGGAAGGCCGCATTCAGGGGGAGCTTCAGCGTCTCGATCCTGCGCGGCAGGCCCAGGCTCTCGGGTCCGCTCAGACCATTGGTGCCGCCCTATGCAGAACTCGAGCTCGTGGGCCCACGCCTCCAAGTGAAAGGTGTTCTCGGAGGTCTTCAGTAAATCCAGCGACTGGTCGCGTGCCCAGCGACGTTGCCAGGCCGCGATCTCGGCGCGAGCTCGACGTCGACCGCGAGCCCGCCCTCGCGGACCTCAGCCGCCGACCTGCTCAACGCGTCGTCCGAGGCTGGCTCCGAGGCGGCTTGCCCCAGGGAGCATGGCCCGACTCCCCTTGCAGCTCCTGACCAAGTGGCCATCCGCCGCTCCGTGATCGGACCATCAGCTGGGAATTCCCAACCTCTCGTCTCGTGGCGTTTCGGCGGTCCTCCTCGGCAACCGCGTGGCGCAGTCCTCCTTCGGCCTGTCCCTGGAGCGCGCCAGGCGCGGTGCCCCGGCGTCCGCCGAGATGCCTTCGAGCTCGCGGACGTGGCAGACCCGTGATGCGCAGCACGCCGTCAAGCAGTCAAGCGCTTCTGTCAGTGAGTTGGACTTCTGCGCCTTCGGCGCCGTGTCCACCTGAATAATGATGCGTTGGCCGCGTGCAAATGCACGGGCCGAGGGGCCTTTGCATGGCCCTCGCAGACCTTCGCAGACCTGTCGCACATCCTTCGCAGGCCTTTTTGGCCAAGGCTGCAGGGCCTACCCGCGCAAATCATCGAGCGTGCTGGCCAAAGCTAATCGAGAACCCAAAGTGGCATACATGCACAGAGCCCTGTTGCGAGTGACGGCCTATGGGCCAGGCTTTTCTTTCCGAAGAAGTTTCGAGATCCTTGGATTCCCCTAGCCGCGCGGCCCTCCTGTGGTCGCACTCGGTTGCCGCAGCTCGAGGCTGGCCAACGCCTGCGGACAGACACTCTAGTGATGCTGGCTTGAAGGAAATCGGGGGGGGGATATCAGCTGCGCGCTTGTCTCCACACTCTCCGCACCAGGTCAGGCCGTCGATGTGAATCGGTTCCGTCGGGTCCGGGCCCACCCCAGCCCGCCCATCCTTGAGCCTTATGAGAAACTTTGACAGTCGCCGGAGAGATCGCTGGATTACCCTGGCCGCCCGACCCTCCCTCGGGCGCGCTTGGCTGCTGCAGCTCGAGGCCCGCAAAGCCTGCGAACACAATCTGTCGTGATGCTGGCCTGACGGAGACCGGTGCGGTGTGGGCATGTTTTATGCTCAGCTTTTTGCCGCACTTGTTTGCAGTTTTAATGTTTTAGCCAGTGCACCACGGTCGGCCTTGTGCTCTATCATCCTGACGCCACGATCCCCGTCGATCTAAATTCGTTCAGAACGTTGAAAATCGGAGGGACGACGAGGACGAGGAGGAGGAGGAGAACGACCAGGGTGATGAGGGAAAGCAACCTGGAGGGAGCAGCGCTGCCGCGTGCAAAAGGCTGGAGCCTATGCCGAGCTTCGCGGAGGACAGCGCCATCGACCTCGAGGAGGGCCGGGAACAGTCGAGGACGCACGCGGGCAGCTGCAGTTTGGCGGAGGACGCTCGCCAGGCTCCTCGCGGAGCGAACATCTAGGGATTGCTCGCCAAAGCAGGATTACCCCAGCAACGCGCCTTGATAGCAGCAGTGTTAACGGGTCGAGGGGAATTCTGTTACAAGGGGTCGTGGCCATCCGGAGCAACCGTCCTCGGATTCCCCGCCCCCCTTGTGGGATTCCGTTGTCGTCTTTTCTACTTTACATACCCCTCCCAGGAAAACGCTAGTAAGAAAGCAAGTGCCAATGCCTCTACCCTCTCTTGTTTCCGCCTTTTGGGGCCTCCTGCAAGGCCCTCGTCGCCACCGCTGGATAGGCCTTAAAATTCGAGTCAGAACGCACTCCAAGAGATGCTTCGGGAGTAGCGGTATCGGTACCTTTTTGTCCCCTCATGGGTGGTTCGGCGGGAGGCTTGGCGCCGCGCCCTGACATGCTCGCGTCGTGAAGGAAGGGCGGCGGGAGGTTTGGGCAATCTTCGGCTTCTGGGTGCCCAGTGGCTAGGTTCCGTCTTTTGACGGTCCCCGGAGGCCGAAAGCGGCAGCGAGGACCCCCGCTGGGATTCTTGCCCAGGACGAGGAGGGGCCTGGGCACTCCTGGAGGCACGTACCTCCTCCTCCTCCTCCTCCTCCTCCTCCGTCTCCTCCTCCTCCTCCGTCTCCTCCTCCTCCTCCTCCTCCCCTTCCCTCCTCCTCCTACTCCTCCTCCTTCCCCTCCCCCTCCTCCTCCTCGCTCGTGCACGTCCCCCTGGGCCTCCCTCGGGGGTGGCAGCGCTGCGGGGGGCAGCAGGCCCAGAGGGGGAACGCCTCGGCCCCCGATCGCCCCTTCCTCGCCGCTGGGGGGACCTCGCCGGGGAAGGCGCGGGCTCGCTGTCTCAGGGGCCCACGGCCGGTACCTCGGCGATGTACCGCCTTGGGTCCAGCCTTAAGTCGGGCCTGTCCCTCTACAGGGGGCAAATTCAAAAATAGTCAGAACAAAAAATGTCTGGGGACTATTTTTGGAGTATTTTGGGATTTCTGTTGAGCATTGTTCGAGTATGTTTTTTTTTCGTCCGAAACCCCCCTGTAGGGGGACACGCCCGCCTTAAGCCCAGCGGCTGCGACGGCGCACGTCTGGAGAAGCGCTCACAGCGGTCGTCAGCTCGGCCCAGACGCTTCTGACGTCAGCTCGGCCCCAAGACTACGTTCGCCGAGACGAGAGCAATCGTCAATTCAGGTCCAAATAATACGTCGTTCGGCAAGACCAGATGAGCCGTCAACTCTCCCCCGACACTTTGCTCGTCAAGACCGAAGTCTTTTTTGTAATGACTGACTGACTGACTGACTGACTGACTGACTGACTGGCTGGCTGGCTGACTGACTGACTGAACTGACAAGTGAATCACCGAAACCATTCGATGGCAGCTTTATTTCCAGGGATTGAGGATACAGGGGGTTCAAACAAACTAGGACGGCATGCCCCGCCTCAGCCTCGCGGGCCTTCGTTAAATTCATGTGTTTAAGATTAGTTGTTTTGTTCCATGCGATGGGACCGTCGCGTGAGTCCTACTCGAAAGCCTAGTTTAAACAATGACGATGTGTATGACATCGGCGTGTTGTTGCTTGCGCTGGTGGTTGGGCGGGTGGTTGTGCTGGTAGTTGCGATGGTAGTTGTGTTGATGGTTGTGCGGGTGGTTGTGCTGGTGGTTGTGCTGGTGGTGGCTGTGGTGGATGCGCTGGTGGTTGTGCTGGTGGTTTTTCTGGTGGTTGTGTTGGCGGTTGTGCTGGTTGTTGTCTGGTTGGTTGCGGCGGTGGTTGCGCTGGTGGTTGTGCTGGCGGTTGTGCGGGTGGTCGCGATGGTGGTTGTGCCGTTGTCGGCGTCGGCGGTAGATTTGGTAATTATGTTGGAGCTTGTGCGGGTGATCGTGTTGGTGTGTTGGTGGTTGTGCGGGTGGTTGTGCTGGTGGTTGCGCGGGTGGTTGCGATGGTAGTTGTGCTGGTGGTTGTGCTGGTGGTTATGTTGGTGGTTGTGCTGGGGGTTGTTTTCGATGATTTGCTGCTGGTGGTTGCGTTGATGGTTGTGCTGGCGGTTGTGCTGGTGGTTGTGTGGGTGGTTGTGTTGGTGGTTGTGCTCGATGTTTTGGTGGTTGTGCTGGTGGTTGTGCTGATGTTCGTGCCGGTGGTTGCGATGGTGGTTGCGCGGTTGGTTGTGATGGTGGTCGTGCTGGTGTTTGTGCTGGTGGTTGAGATGCCTGGTGGTCGCGCTGGTGGTTTCGATGGTGGTTGCGCTGTGTTTGTTTTTGCTGGGGTGTGGTTTTCTTGGTGGTTATTTTGCTGGTGCTGGTTTTGCTGGTGGTGATGCTGGTGGTTGTTGTGATGGCGGTTCGTGTTGGCGGTGATTGTGCTGTGGTTGTGCTGGTGTTCGTGCTTGTGGTTGGGCTGGTGGTTGTGATGGCGGGTCGTGTTGGCGGTGATTGCTCGTGCGATCACTAAAACAGCCACATGCTGGAACACTTGCACAAGCACTACGGCAAACACCAGCACAACTGCCATCAGCACTACCACCAACACAACCACCCTCACAACCACCAGCAAGACAGCCAGCACAACCACAGGCACAACCGCCAGCACAACCACCAGCAGCAAAACATCGAGCACAGCAACCCGCACAACCACCAGCACAGCCACCAACACAACCATCAGCACAACCTCCTGCACAACCACCCGCACAACCCCAGCAAAACAGCTAGCACAACTACAAGCACAACCGTCAGCACAACCACCAGCAGCAAAACATCGAGCACAACCACCCGCACAACCACCAGCACAGCGACCAACACAAACACCAGCACAACCTGCCCTAGAACCACCCGCACAACCCCCCAGCACAGCACAACCACCTGCACGACAAACCCGCACAGCTACCACCAGCACAACCACCAGCACAACCACCCGCGCATTCGCCAGCCCAACAAATACCAGCACAACCACCAGCAAAACCGCCAGCACAACCATTGGCGGTAATCCCTGGCCAATTTAGGAGTGCGACGCCGAGCGCACCAACAAGTTCGTGGTGCTGCATCTTGCTAGCAAACACATTGTTTTGTTTCATGCCGCGTCGCTTTACCTTTTTTTAGTTTGTTTTTGTTTTATGAATTCCTAGTATTGTTTCCTGCCACGCCTCGGGGCTGAGATATATACGCGACAACCTAGAATCTGAAACTCCTTGGTTTGGGAACTCCTTGATGTGTTTTTGAACTCCCTGTATGTTTCTGGCAGTTTTAGGCCAGGGGGTGAGGATATTTAGCTGACAGTTTTAGGCCAGGGGCGGTGAGGATATTTCGCTGGCGGTTTCAAGCGAGGGGTGTGAGGATATTTCGCGGGCGGTTTTACGTCGGGGGGGTGAGGATATTTTGCTGTCAGTTTTAGCCCAGAGGCGGTGAGGCTATTTCGCTGGCGGTCTATTCTCAGAGGTGTGAGGATATTTCGCTGACAGCTTCAAGATATTTAGCTGGCAGTTTTTAACCAGGGGCGGTGAAGATCTGTCGCTGGCAGTTTCCAGCGAGGGGCGTGAGGATGTCTCGCTGGCAGCTTTAAGTCCAGGGGGTGAAGATACTTAGCTGGCAGTTTTAGGCCAGGGGCGGTGAGAATATTTTGCTGGCAGCTTTAGGCCAGGGGTAGTGAGCATATTCTTGGTATCGCTTGGACGTGCGCACTTTTTCTCGGCGGGGATTATTACCTGCGGAAAAACCACGCACGAAACCAACAAAAACAGGGAGTGGACGTCCGAGCGACGGGGAGTATTTCGCTGGCAGTTTCAAGCGATGGGTGTAAGGATATTTCGCTTGCAGTTTGAAGGCCAGGGATTTCGGTGTCAGTTTCAAGCCAGGGGTTGAGGATATTTCGCTGGCAGTTTTCAGCGATGGGTGTGAGGATATTTGGCTGGCGGTTTTTGAGGCCAGGGGATGAGGATATCTCGCTGGCAGAGGGAGCGCTGAAGGTCTGTCCCCGGGGGGCGGACAATGCGGCTTCAGCGCAGATGGCGCCTAGGAGGAGGAGGAGGAGGAGGAGGAGGAGGAGGAGGAGGAGGACGAGGGGGAGGACGAGGAGGAGGATCAGTTGGAGGAGGGGGGGTGGACGACGAGGAGGGCAGAGGAGGCGGAAGACGAGGAGGAAGTAGGAGAGGCAGGAGGCCGCGGATAAAGGAGACGGAGGAGTTGCACGACGGGGGGGATGGGTGAGAGGGAGGACGGAGGACGGGGACGAAGACGAGGTGGCAAAAGGGGGGGTCGGAGGGAGGGCCTGAGAGGAATCGTGGTCGGTGCGGGCATCCACGGGCCACGCGATGCAGTGTTGGGTCGTGCCCTGCCTGGCTCAGCCGAAGGCTACGCATGCAGCGCGGTGCTGCGCTAGTATATCTGCTCGCCCCATGGCGTGGGGCTGGCGGGGGGCCAAGGGGCGAGCTGTCCGGTGTTTAACCATCAGCTCGGCCCGGACGGTTTGTTCGCCCAGGCGGAGTGTGCGGCGAGGGGAGCCGTCAAAGGGGTTCGTTAATTCGGAGGAAGGCAATCACGGGGGCCCGTCACCCCAGAGGGAGGCCGTCAAGCAAGCTTGTTCCAGGGGGCTCGTCAACTTAGAAGGAGGCCGTCAAGTGTCTTCGTCAATTCGGAAGGAGGCTGTCAGGGGGTTTGGTTGTCTCGAAGAGTTGACGGCCAGATTCGTTCTGTAAGGGAGAGAGAGAGAGAGAGAGGGTTGACGGCCAAGTCATTTCGGTAAGATCGACTTGACGGCTCAAGCGCAGGATAGAGCACACGTGGCCATATCGGTCATGACTTCCAGGCCCACCGGCAGACCGGCCGCCCGCGAAAGACTCCAGCACCGCCGAGTCCAGGTCGATGCCTCACCCCGTGCGCCGGCCCGCCCATCCCTCGCGTCTCAGGAGGGGGAAAACACAAGGAAGATCTGGGAAGACATGGGAGGTGGGGGCGAAGACGAAAGTCCAACAAAGACGTGGGAAGGCATAGGGGAATCCTGTGATTCGCGTGCATCTATTCGTGTGTGCCCCTGGCGGCAGGAGGCCGCCAGGAGGCCCCGCAGGCAGCGGTCAACCACGGCCGCCGCAGGGCGGAGGAGCCTGGGCCGAGACAGCCCGTGCGGCGATGGGGGGCGAATCCCTGAACCGGGCGTCGAGATATCGAGCCTCCTCCTCCTCCTCCTCCTCCTCCTCCTCCTCCTCCTCCTCCTCCTCCTCCTCCTCCTCCTCCTCCTCCCTCCGTTCCCTGATGCACAGCGTCGGCCCCCGCCGGCACCAGGCCGACCGCTGCCGAGAGCCGGCGACCCCGGCCGAGGAGGGCGCGGAGAGCGAGGCGGCGCGCTAGCGGCGCGGTAGCGGCGCGCCAGGCCCGCCGGGGCCGCTGCGCTCCCGCTCGGCCTCCACCCCAGCGTCCGGGGGGGCTCCCCGAGCGGGGTGGTGGCCACACCGTGGGGTGGGTCGGCTCCCTCTCCTCCTCCTCCTCCTCCTCCTCCTCCTCCTTCTCCTCCTCCTCCTCCTCGTCGTCCTCCTCCTCCTCCTCCTTGCATTCATCCATGCACGCACTTATCTCTAACTATGATCAATTATGTGCCGTGCCCAAAGTACCCGTCCCTGGAATTCCGAGGATCCAAGCTGCTACGACGAAATGGCTCTATCATCATGCCCCAGCAGGATATCGTGTCCCGCTCTTGTATCGGATGAAGAAGTTGGGAGTCTCTGCGAGGTGTTGTGATCTTGACCTAGCCCTGATGGCGCTCCGTAGATTAGAAAAGCTTGTTCCCTCGTGTGTTATCGTCTCTGTTTTGAAAACGTTCTCGAATGGCTGGTGCTGCTCTTCCAGGTTCCGCGGGCCCACCTGTGGCTGCGTTTTCTGTTTGGCGCCTGGGGCCGACCGGTTCCTTCACTATCTTGAGTGCCCTGTTGTTATGTCTAGTGCCAGTACCGTCCTGCATCTGCCTGTTTTCTTTTCCTCGCTCTCGGGGCCGCAGCGTGCCTCCATCTTCCCCTGGGCCGCCTCTTCTCAGCTCGAGCTTTCTGCTTGTGCGATTTTCCTTGATCTCATCTTTCAGTCTTATCACGACCTTCGGTTTGCACCCAACCTGTCGCCTCCGAGGGGGTCTCTGCGGCTTTAGGGCAGGATGCGAGCGCGGTTAAAGCAGTTCAAGAGGCGGGATCATCGCCTGAGCTCACTGCTTGGGTAGGACCTGGGGAGCTCGCCAGGTATCGAATTAGGGTCGGGTCGGCCTAATTCCTTGCCTTCCTTGGCCTCGTGCACTCCTCCTCCTCCTCCTCCTCGTCCTCCTCCTCCTCGTCCTCCTTGGTACCGGGTCACCGCACGGTTTTCGGACTCGATTCCCTTTCCGAGGATGTCTCGGGCGACAGGGGCTTCCACGGCCCCCGAACCGTGCGCTGACGGGCCGTGCGGCGAGGTCTTGGGGTGTTTCGAGGTCACCGCACGGTCCGTCACCGCACGGTCCGTCACCGTATTGTTGCGAGCCCTGGGTCGGTATCGTTTCACCACTCCCCATTCTCATCCCCGCCCCCTTCGAGACCCCCACCAGATTACCCCCCCCCCCCCCCCCAGTTGGGGATGCACCCCTCGAAGCCCGGAGGGAGCGGCCCATATCCCCATCTAGGGGGGGAACTCGGGCAGTGGGGCCCAGACCACGCCGCTGGGGATGGGGATCGGTTAAACGATAATCACAGGGCCCAGGTTCTGTCGAGTTCGCTTGCGTTGCAGTTCTCGGGGAGCGGGGAATGGCAGAAATATGAACCTTCGGAGGTCTTGGCCAGGCGGATTTCTTGGATCGGCGCTGGGTCCCCTGGCGGCGCCTCCGGCGCCGCCCCTGGCGCCCTCCGCGCTCCAAGGAGGGGGGTCCAGCGCCGATCCAAGAAATCCGCTTTTCCCCCGAGGTCCTTTGTTATTACTATTGGTACTGACAGTGTTATTGTTATACTTACTTCTATCATTGTAATTGCTTGCTTCGCGAACTTCCCCCCGCCACCGGCCGCCGCCCCTTCGTTCAGCACTGGGCCGAGGAAGCGTGCCAGCAACTCCGTATGCCACTTATGTGATCTCCAGATTTCCTCGAGGGGGTCGCCCCTGACGCCCCCCCCCCACTCCCTCTACGCAAGCAAGCCTCCCAGAGTCTGATTATGGACAGGCTGGAGGTTTGTGTCTCGAAGGCGAGGCCTCCACTCGGACCCTCCAGACAGACTCTGCTGGCATGGTCTTCGTCCGCAGCAGAGGAGTACAGAGCGGCAGAGCAAAAACTCTCGGAGGTCCCTGCTGTTTTTTTGGTCGGGGCTGGACGGCGCCTGCGGCGCCGAGCCCCAGCTCGCTTCTTGTGCCACGGGGAGGGGGGGGGGGCCTGGGTCTGGGCTAGGGGATCGGGGCGGATCCCCGAAACAGTTGGTGCTCGTGATGTTCCCTGCTTGCTCTTCTGGCCACCCCATCCCATTCTCCCCCCCAGACATCCGAATATATTTCCCACAAGTTTTTTTCTAGAAGGCGTTCTTACCTGGCATGAAGATTTGCGTTGTCGGAGACCTCTGCTGGATTTGTGGATGTGGTTGCTGCTCATGCCGTCGTTGTTGCTCACGTGGTCACAGTGCTGTTGTTATTGTTGGTGCTACTTTGTTGATGCGGGTTTGCATTGTTATTGTTTTTTATGGATGAGGCTGTATGGTTGATCAGCTGGGCGTTGGGCTGGAGGCGTGTGCCGGTTCTGCCAGCCAGCTGTGGGCTGGGCGCTGTGGTTTTTCAAAAGAGGCGACCCTCACGAGGGTTGTGCTGGCCCTGTGGGCCAGCTATGGGCCGGGCGTCCTGGCCCTCAAAAAATGGTGGCCTTCCTAGGGACGGCGCCGCCCCTGGTAGGCCGGAGGCTTCTGCTGGCTCAGTGGGCCAGCTGTGGGGGCGGACGTTGTGGCTTTTGAAGAGTGGACACGAGGGCCAGCTGTGGGCCAGATTCGCCCCAGACCCATTTCTGAGGAACCAGGGGCCCGGAAGCGGCCACCAGAGGCCGAATTCGAGAAACGACGCCGCAATTGAATCGTCTTTGTCGACAGAAGTCTGGGCCCCTTTTCCGTGTAGCCGCCGTGCCCCGCGCGAGGGGGCCGTTTCTGTGTGGCTCTCTGGGACGAGGCAGCGACGCCAGCATGATGAACGCAGCCATCTCCCCCTCCAGGGATGGTTGCCCCTCGGAGGGGGGATCTGACTAGATCTGTACAGCTGGCACGAGGATTATCCGTGTTTCGGCTCTCCACCTTGTCTCGCCGCTTTTCGTTTGGGCTATCTCCGTGGTGCACTGGGCCCTCGGCGAGGGGGCTCGTGTTCTTGACCTGTACGTGCTTGTGGCCAGGTTCCGGCTGGGTGGAGGACCCCACAAAGGGGGCGGGGTGGCCAGTTCCTCAGGTCCCCCAGCGCCCCAGGGCGGGAAAGGGAGGGGCAAGGAGGACTTCCGGATAACCCTCCTCTTGGCTCAAGGTTGTCTCCAGGTCGGCCTCCAAGTCGGCCAAGACTGCCATATACGGCCTCCACAGTGTTTTTCCAGGACGGCCAATATTACTCCAAGACGGCCATAGATGGTGCCAATGCGTCCCCCGGCACCAAGAGGCCACCTGGAGGCCTCCAATGAGCCATCTGTGCTCCTCCACCGCACCCTCCTCCCCAGACCTCGCGCCCCGACAACAACCCCCATGGAGGCCCTTGCGGGGTTCAGAAAACGACCTGGGATGAAACTGTCTTCGTCGCGGCACGGTAGAGGTAATCCGCCCGGGCGCTCGAGTTGCCTGGGGCGTTCGGCAAATTGATTGTCCGAGTGCAAGAGGAGGAGCACGCGGGAGGGCGGGTGCGGTCCTGGGATGAGGCATCGGTCGGGACCTCTGGTCGGGCGGACGGCAAGGGGTGGGCACGCGGCGGGTCCTAGGCGGCCCCTCGCGCCATTCCGCCGACCCCGAGAGAATCAGGGAGAAGGAGAAAGAGGCTGACATGGACGACGACGACGACGACGACGGTGGGAATAAGGAGGACCAGGAGGAGAGGAGGAGGAGGAGGAGGAGGAGGAGGAGGAGGGAGGAGGAAGGAGGAGGAGGAGGAGAGGGAGGAGGAGGGAGGAGGAGGAGAGGAGGAGGAGGAGGAGGGAGGAGAGGAGGAGGAGAGGAGGAGGAGGGAGGAGGAGGAGGAGGAGGAGGAGGAGGAGGAGGAGGAGGAGGAGGAGGAGGAGGAGGGAGGAGGGGAGGAGGAGGAGGAGGAGAGGAGAGGAGGAGGAGGAGGAGGAGGGAGGGGGGGGAGGAGGAGGAGAGAGGAGGAGGAGAAGAGAGAGGAGGAGTTGCGAGCGGAAGCCGAGAGGCAGCAGGCTCCAGAGAGGGGGGGGGGAGGGGCACCCGAGCACCCCAGGCCCAGCCCCCCAGCCCCAGCGCGAGGGAGCCCGAAGGCCAGGACCGCCCCACTGGTGCCGAGGGGAAGGGCGCGGTAGACCCGTGTACCTCCGAGGTGCGGCCGGCGGCGGGGCCAGCTGGCACAGGGCCCGCCGTCCCGCGGAGGAGCCACCCACGGGGCTCCCAGCGCCACGGCCCGGGAACCCGCCCACGGGCGGTCCAGGGAGGGGGGGCGGCGCCGCCCACGCCCACCATGCCCAGCGTGCCGGCAGGGAGGCCGAGCCGCAGGCGAGGCGCTCAGGGCAAGACGTGGCCGGGCGGGCCCAGCACGCAGAGCGCTCGCGGGCCAGCTTGGCCGCACACCTGCCGCGACGGATCCTGCATGTAGCAGGATTTGACAGATCATTGCGTGGGCGGCGCCATTCTAGGCCAAACCCCACAACCAATCAACACGTGAGACGCGCACAAGCCGACGCCGAGGATGATCAAACACCACACCACCGCGCCGTTTACTCCGATCTTTGAGAAACACCATCATCTTCAGCGACGCGTCCCATCTCGAGTGCTTCTGCGTATTATCGCCCATATGCCATAATATTGTGAAGGCCTGACGGCCTGTGCCGCTGACCCAGGAGGAGGACGACGACGACCACGACGACGACCACGACGACAAAGCGACAACGGCGAGCTGAGGACCCTGCCACAAGCTCGGAACATGGGGCGGGCGGTGAAGGGAAGAGGAGGAGGAGGACGAGGAGGAAGAGGAGGAGGAGGATGAGGAGGAGGAGGAGGAGGGGCAGGAGGAGGAGGAGGAGGAGGAAGAGGAGGAGGAGGAGGGGGGGAGGGAGGAGGAGGAGGAGGAGGAGGGGAGGGAGGAGGAGGAAGAGGAGGAGGAAGGAGGTGAGGAGAGAGGGGGAGCAGGAAGAGGAGAGGGAGGATGAGTAGAGAAAAGCAAGGGGGAGAAGACAACACCTTCTTTCTCTCTCTCTCTCTCTTTCTCGCCTCTCCCTTTTTTTCAGGTCGGTCTTGAGCTGCGTTCACTCGCAGGTGCGCGCTAGTGTGTACTGTTCGACAGGACCCCTTTCATGCGATGCGAGGAGGAGGAGGAGGAGGAGGAGGAGGAGGAGGAGGAGGAGGAGAAGAGGAAGGAGGAGGAGGAGGAGGAGGAGGAGGGAGGAGGAGGAGGAGGAGGAGGAGGAGGAGGAGGGGAGGGGGGGAGGAGGAGGTGGAGGGGACGGAAACGGAGGAGGAGGAGGAGGAGGGAGGAGGAGGAGGAGGAAAAGAGAGGAGGAGGAGGAGGAGGAGGAGGAGTGGGGAGGAGGACGGGGAGGAGGAGGAGGAAGAGGAAAAGGACGAGGAAAAGGACGAGGAAAAGGAGGTGGAGGAGGAGGAGGAGGAGGAGGAGGAGGAGGAGGAGGAGGAGGAGGAGGTGAGCCGTGTGTCTCCTCGGGGGCGGGCGTTTGGGAGGCGACTGGGTTGGGGCCCCGGCCGGATAGGGGCCGGAGCCGGGGCCGAAGCCGGGGCCGGGGGGCTAAGGCCGTGCACGGCCGGTTAACGGGACCGGGGAGCCAGGGCTGGGGCCGGGGTTGGGGGCAAGGGCCAGGGCCAGGCCGGGCCAGGAACGGGGCTGGAGCGGGGGCCTAGGCGGGGGCACGGGTCCTGAGGAAGACCAACCACCATTTCTGCCGCGTCCTGCGGCTTTTCTTGGCCGCCGAAACGCCCGAGGAGGAGTCGCATATGCCCGGGACACCCCCAGGACGCCCCCCGGGAGGTCGGGCCTGGGCCCCGCCCCCAGGTCCCCCCCCCCCCTCGGATCAAAGGGAAGGGGCTTCCATTTGACTCCACGACAACGTTGCTCAACTATGAGTCGGAAGGAACAGCTTCCACACGCCGACAGGGTCGGCGGATTTGTTTCTGCGCATGCGAGCCCACATGCCATAATATTTGTTATGTCCAGACGCCTTTGCTGCTTGAGGGGAACCTGCGCCTGGTGAGACTTGGCACGTGCTATGCCGCGGGCAGGTCCCGACGGTGCGCGAGGAGACTCCAGCCGGACCTCCTGCCTTGCAGGCTGCGGGTGGCGTAGGTATTCGAAGTGTTTCGCGTTCTCGACTTCGCGGCCTCCTCCACGCCTGCCTTCGCATTTCCGGGCCCGACCGTGGTGGTTACGAGAGTCAGAGCGAAATTGTTAACAATATGCTGTGCATGACAAAAGCAAGTGCGGCGAATCCACCATGGGATATTCAACCAAAGTGGTTGGCCACGTTCCACGGCTCGAGAAACCCATCTTACTCATCATCTAGAACAATCTCCACCATGGGCACATCGTCATTTGGGCCTGGTGGATTCTCACCGTGGTCCTTCTTCACCGAAGACGGATATCCAGGACCGTCTGCATTCGAATCACACAGCGACGTTTGAAAATCACCGATGGATTGCAGTAGTAGCTTGTGCGCTCTCTTGCAGTCCCGCATAAAGTCCACGCGATCGCCCTCGGGCACGTTGAAGGCGGCTTCACGCCTTGCCAGGGCATCTGCTGCGCGCCCCCCCCTTTATTTCAAAGGCCGAAAGCGCGCCCTCAACCGCGCCATTATTTGCGACGCGCCCCCCGACATGCTCGAACTGCTGCTTGCGGAAGTCATCATGTGAAGCAATAGTGCTCCAAATGTTGGCCTTGGGGTTATCTGCACCTACGGCATTAGCTGGCGATCTGCATGGCGACGACGCGCCTTTGCCATCCGAGAGCACATGCGGTGCACGAGCCAAGCACTTGGCGACTCACAAACGGCATCGCGTAGCCCTCTCCGCACTTTGCAACCTGCCGCGGGCGCGCATTGTAGGGGGCTGCAACGATGCATCTTGCAATCAGCTCCCTCTCGTGGTCGTAGACCACCCCAGACCACGCAGCGCCCCCGAGGCATGGAATGTCGGTGCAGAGCCCGCTGCCGTCAGCGAACGCGGGACTTCCATCCTCATGTGCAATGCCTGTCCTGCCCATATCATGACAATCGCATGCAGGAATTCTGATTGGATGCTCAACTGCTCGAGAGGGGCCAGAGAAGGCCGCGGCGGAACAATGCTTGGATAGTTTCGGTCGTCTGCTTCATCCTCCACGCGGGGCCCCCGGGCTCCATCGGGGGCCGCCCCTGCCCGGAGAAGTCGAAGGGGTCGCGCGGAAAGTGCCCGTCGCAGCACCTTCCTAGGGCCGCCTGACAGCGGAGACAAACCTCGGGTTCCCCGGCAAAGGCCCTCGGGGCCCGGCGCAGGCAGGCGCCAGTGCGCCGCCGGTCAGAGGCCCCTCAGAGACTTTCTTAGACGCGGCTGACGCACTCTACAGTCGGCGCTCGGAATACAGCGCCTCGTCGATGAAAGTCCAAGGGGCACCTGAGGCACCTAGGCGTTATCAGCAGGGATCTTGCCGATGGGTCTCCTGGTCGACATACCGCCGGGCCCATGCGCTTGACCAGGTTTCTCAGCAAGGTTGCGGCGCGCCCCTAAAGTTCCGGAGCTGCCCATCATCGCCCCCGATCGCGCAGGCGCCCGCCCGCGACCGGCCCGCGCTGTGAAGCGAGCGGGGGGGCGCCAAGATCGGGTTTTTGAACTTGGCCCAGCCTTGCGGATTGGAAAGCAAAGGTCGCGCCTTCCCCCGGCGCTTGTCCGCGACTGTCTACGCAACGGACTGCGCATTCATGGCCGCGGCGAAGGTGTGGGCAGCATTCGCAGTCGCAATCGCCAGGGTTCCCGCTGGCAGCCGCGCTCTGCGCCGAGCGGCGATAGCCCTGCATCTCCTGGTTCGCACTTGACCACGCTCAAGCAAGACATTCCTAGACACTGGGCCCTGGAATTCGCAGCCCCGTGGACGCTGGGCCCCGCGGGGGCTCGGGCAGGGCGCCCGCTCGATGCGCCGCCGGCTGCTGGCGTCTCAATCCCTGGGGAGCTCAGATCATGGGGCCCTTCTGGGAAGCGTCTGATATCTTGGTGGCCTGAGTTGAGACCCCCCTCGCGACGCCGTCGATAGCATCACCCCCTGGGCCCCTGTGGTCGGCGCTACGGGCGGGGAAGGGTGGGTCTTCTGGCTGGGGATACAGAAACTGATTACTGACCTCTCGATCGATCTCGTCGTCGCTGCGGAGCACCCCGCACTTGCCCCCAGAAAACGGTGGCTTCCTGTCTTGCGCGCCCTGCATGAGCAACGTTGGGCCAGCTGCTGGTTGAGCTTTGAACTGGGCAGGGCCTTCTACGACGCGAAGACTGGCGTCGTGCATGGGTTCTTGATCCTGACCGGACTGCGCATCGCCCCCCTGCTCTGGGGGGTCGGCGATTGTCATCGACGCGGCCTGTCCTGTCGCGCGCGAACAACCGGCAGTAATTGGCCCATTAGCAGACAACACATCCGAAACCGAGCGCTGGTGCAAGGTTATGCGGGGGCGCCTGCGCAGGGAACAGAGGGGTCTGAACGTGGCTCAAGGACAATATGCGCCCCTGGCAGCGCGCAGAAGTTCCTGGTGACTGGAAAGTCGCACAACTTCCTAAGGACAACGAAGACACACACTGGCAAATCCTAGCTGGGGAGCCACTGCGGCGAGGACGTCGCGGACCCATGTGGATCCGTCGCAAGACGTTTCGCTGGAGGTTCCCTGGAAGAGTCCGCCGGACAACATAGAAGACCCCCATGTCGAGACCACCGCGCGGCACAACCTGCACCAAATTCAAGGAAACAGCGGGAGAAGGCCGATTTGCAATTCCCCTCCTTGGGGCTTGGGGCGACAAATTTCAAGCGCCAGCCAGACGTCGGTCAACTCTGGCCCAGCTTCCCGCCCGTGCAGAATTTCGATTAGCGCGAGCAGATGGGCCTCTGAAAGCCTCTCGATGCATCCACCCAGGGTGGGATGAACCCCATCCGAGTCCCGCGCTGGGCCGAAAAGGACCCGGGTGGGCCGTTGCAGCCCGGGGGCCCAGTGCAGGAAGGGGAGCGGCATCAGAAACGCCCCTATCGAGAGGGCGGGGCTCCGAGTCTCCAGACGGAACCTCCCAGAGAGACACCCGAGACGCCCATCGTTGCGTCTAGGACATCATGGCTCACCGCGGGGAGGTCAACGGCAGCCGACGCAGCCGCTGAGCCAGCCCCCCTGCGGGCCGCGGGCAAATTTGCGGGCGACGCCCCCCCCCCCCCCCTGGAATGCCATCTCCGAAAACTCCGCCCACGATAACCTCGCCGCGGCCGACGCGCTCTTCCTCGCCTGAGCCCGCGCGCGCTCTCGCGCGAGGTCTCAGGTCCCAGGCCGGGGCGCAGGGCCTTCAAGACGGGAGAGGAAGGCGGCGTGCGTGGCAGGCCGCCGCGCGTCCTCCCTCTTCCCTCTCTTCTCCCACCGATGCACGGGCGCCCGCTATCTCCTCCATGCGCGCAACGGCGCTAGCTCAAGCTGCAGCTCGATCGGGGGCGGTGGAATCCTGCGCCTCCGGCCACTGCGCTGCCGCGCGGCACGGCGTCAACAGCTGGCCGGTCTTGGCGCTGGCTTTGCAAATGGCGTTTTTTTTCATGTGGCGCGCGGCGACAGGCTGTTTCTGCAACGGCAGCCAGCGGATCGACCGCAGTAACGCGCCCCGTCGCGCACGGGAATGGCCGGATACATGCGTGGGAAGAGTTCAGCAGACGTAAACCAACGACGCGCTTGGCGATGCGTCGCTACACCTCCCGGGAGCGCCTCGCTCTTCTTGGGGGGCTAAGACTTTCTAGCTGAATACGCCAATATATTTATTTGTGACTCCCGACCCGGTAGACGAAGGACGACCGGCTTGTGGGGCCCAGCGGGGGCGCCCTTGCGGTGGCTTTTACAATTGACAAAAGGAAACAACACGCCATTGAGCACAAAGAAATAGAAATCGATGCTCGATTCGTTGCAGGTTGGCTTCCCTCGCGCGATCTCTGCGGGCGACGGGTTTAGGACGCCCAGCCTCAAACAACTGTCTGCCCACAAAATGTCGGCGGCGATGTCCCGGCCCCCAGCTGCGCTGACCGCCTCCGCGAGAGCTCCCAGAAGGTCCGCGGCGCCCCCGAGGCCCGCCCCGACTTCCCCATAATCCGACGCGAAGAAGATCTGAATATCACCGAGAACTCTTCTGCGAGATTTGTTGCGCGATTTGGGGCACGCGCGCGCGAGGGTTTTTCTGCTGCGGGGATGCGCGCACGCATGCGCGGGCCTGTGCCGATGGAGTGCCCTGTGATGGCGCATTCTGAAACCTCTAGGCGGTGGCTTCGGCCTCTCGCCCATGCCTGTCCTCGCCGCGCCCGCTCACCTGCCGCGAGGCGAAGCTGAGGCAAAGCAGACATGTCCGCCTGCAGGCCTTTGTCCGGAACGCGCAACTCGGTGGAAGACTGGGCCGCGGCCCATGCGTCGGGGTTGCCGCGGACGGCCGTGAAATCCGCAGTCGCGCCGCGCGACCGAACCGGCTGCTCGTGCCCCCCCCCCCAAGCGACAGGAATCAAAAGCTGTTTTCCATCTTGGCACAGCGTCATGGTGATGGGCGAGAACGGGCTGATCGTCTGCCGCCACAGTGGTCGGCGGCGCTAGGATTCCTGCGGCGCGGCCAACTCTGAGCGGTGAGATTCGCTCCTGCACCGCATCTCCATGGAGAAATTCACTGGGGCGCAAACAGTTGTAGTCGGGGAACTCGTTGTAGCCGGGGAACTCCACAACTCCGCAGGCAACCTCCATCCGGACAACGTACCCGTGACCTGGGCCCCCTCGAGTAGTTAGGATTGTGTAGTCGTGGCGGTCGGAAGCCTCCTTCCGCCGGCTTCTAAGCCTTGGCTCGCAAGACCGACCCTTCGGCGCTGGCGGAGGCAAAGTCAGCCGCATCCCGGCGCAGCGTCTCGACGCCGACTTCTTCAAATTTCCCTTCGCTGACGTGCAACCGCTGCGGCTGCGAGCCCAAGCTTGACCCTTCGCCCTTCTTCGCATTTTCGGGCGGCTTGTCCAGCAGCTCTGCGGCTCGGCGCTCGAGCGCTTCCACCAACTTGGGCGCGAATTGGGCGGCGTCGGCGACGCCGCCCATAGCGCCCCATCACTCCAATAATTTGGCCTCGCCCACGCTGAACTCAGGTCCTGCGAGGTCCACTGCGCGAGGGGCTGGCTGCGACGGCGGGGCGCGAACCTCCTGGGCGGCCCATGGCCAGTCGAACGATTTCAACCACTGAACATGTTTGACCATACCGTCAATCTCGTTTCGAGCTGATTGGGTGCACTCGATTCGGTGGCGGCGGCGCCGCCGCTTCCTTGAGGTTCCCGAAGCCGTTCGCTCTTTGCCTCCAAGAGTTGCAGGCGTCGCTCCAGCTTGGCCATTGCCGCAGAAGGTTATTCATGCGACCTGCTGGAGTTTCCGAACTTCCTCTGGCTGCGGTCGGGGGCGTCTGGGGGGACAGCGCATTTGAAGCAGTCTCTCTCGTTGAGCTTGCACGTGTAGCAGCTGTCATTGACATCGTCGTTGGTGAGAAAAGCACCAGATCACGGAACGTGCAGAACTTGCACGTCCAATATGTCTTAGCCTCCTGCTTCCATGGCGCAGGCGCCATGGCGTCGTCCGGGTAATAAATGGCGGCCAGAGAGCCCCCGAGGTGCTGGCTGAAATAGAAGCTGTCGAGCGCAATCGCTCTGGCAGTGGCCGCGGGCTAGCGACATCCGTGCGTTCCGCGGGGAATTAGTCTTGAATCAAAATGGCGAAGGAGGAGGAGGAGGCGCGGCATAACCCTGACGTTTCATGGTTGACAGCAGCTCCACATGACGCACGAATCGCTTCCAACACGTGGCTTTCTCTGTAGCGCCGCGCACACTTGTTTTAAATACGTAGCCCCCCGCATATGCGGATAAGAGTGAGGGGGCGGCGGGGGCGTCGACCATTTGCGAGACAGTCCGCCGCGGGCGCCAACGTTTCACAAATTATATAACGAGCCCGCCGCAGGCGCAGATGTTTTCGTCAAACCAATGTGTGTCGGTCGCGGGTGGGTCGCGGGGTGGGTCGCTGGTGCGTCGCGGGTGGGTCGCGGGTGGGCCGTTTCTTGGGTCGCGGGTGGATCGCGGGTGTAGAGGGCAGAAACACGACCCATAATAGTCACCCCGACACGCGAAGCCTTTTTAGTAAACGCGCACAAGGAATGAATCGAACAGGGCAGGGCTGTTTAGTAAACGCCCAGGGGAGTCCACGTAAAAGTCAATTGTCGGGTCCAGGTGGTTTTTCCTGCTTGAGGGTAGGTCGCGGGGTGAGTCGCGGGTGGGTCGCGGGGTGGGTCGCGGGTGAGTCGCGGATGGGTCGCAGATGGGTCGCGGGGTGGGTCGCGGGTGGGCCGCGGGGTGGGTCGCGGGGTGGGTCGCGGGGTGGGTCGCGGGTGGGTCGCAGGGGGGGTCGCGGGGTGGGTCGCGGGGTGGGTCGCGGGTGGGTCGCGGGGTGGGTCGCGGGGTGGGTCTCGGGTGGGTCGCGGGTGGGACGACGACAACAAACAACAACACCAATAATAACAACAACAGCAACAGCAGCAACAGCAGCAACAATAACAACAACAATAACAACAGCGGCAACACCAACAACGCAACAAGCAGAATTCGCACCACGAATTCCTTATTCAGCCACGCACCCACGGACAATGAATGACCGTTCGGCCCCCTTTACCCAGACTTGCAACAGCTTCGCGAATTAAGGGCGGGTCGTTGTCACAATGTTGTTCTCGCATCAAGCAGGATCTTCGTGGATCTAGGGCAGGATCTTCGTGGCTCTCGCTTTCGCGCGCGCGCACATTCGTTGCAACTTTTGGTGCAGGTTCACGGAAACCTATGTTTAACGTACCAGGAATGGCGCGTGGGAGCGGTTCCGGATTGCAAGGGCACAGCGGATGTGCTGATTCGCCGTGTTGAAGTCCTGGGAATGGTTTTCTGGCAAAGATCAGGATCCCCCAGACGCAACCGTCAGGTTGATTCGTGGCGCTGGGGTCCCGAGAGTGGCGTTTTGGTACGTTTCAGGATGTTCAAACTGTTGCCTCCCACCACGGCATTTCCCTCAGTGAAAACGAATCCTTGTAGCGGCCTGTGACGACGGAGCTTGGCGGGAGGGTTGCAAATACCTCCTCTTTCTCCGCCTCCTCCCGCTGCTCCTTCTCCTCCTCCCGACTCCTCCTCTTTAGCCCCGCGACAGCGGCCTCTGCAGCGGCGCATCTCGCGTCACAAGCTGTGCCGAGACGACACCCGTCTGCCGAGCGGCGTCGTGTTTTTTTTGTTGTGCTGTTTTGAATAGTATTAGGTACTAGGCTACGCCTGCTAGACACGGCCCCTGCTTGCCGCGGAGTGCTCGTGGCGCCCGGGCGGGCAGCTTCGCACGGGGCGTGCAGGGTGTGTCGGCGCCACGGCAGCACGGGCTCCTCCTGCTCCTCCTGCTCCTCCTCCTCCTCCTCCTCCTCCTCCTCCTCCTCCTCTTCCTCCTCCTCCTCCTCCTCCTCGCGGAGAGAGTCCGAGATTGAATCCCCCGTGGCAGCCCTCGGCTGGAGACCCCGACAGCGCAGCATGGCCCGAGGCTGGGCGGCCCGCGCGGTGACAGAAAGAAGGGCAGGGGCCACGCCGTTGCGGCGAGGGCTTGCCAGAGGTGGCCAGGCCGTGAGAGCCGCAAGCCTTGCCGCGCCCCATCCCCAGACCTCCTCGCATCGCGCAGAGATGACGGCGGACGGTTTTTGCTGCAGTCATCGGGCTCTTGGGGCCCCCGCCGGGCCCCAGGACCACCACAAACAACTACTCAGGATGAGAACCAGTCCTGGGGAACGGGTCGAGCCCTCTGGGGGTCGACGTTCTGAAATCCTCATGGCGTCGGGGGTCTGGGCTGACGGCCAGGCCGTGTGCCGCGCGCCGTGCCGCGCCGCTCCCCAGGTGAGCAGCGCAGCGCTGCTGCTCGACAGGGGCGCGCCTTGCCGGACGGCCTCCCCGCGACCGCTGGGCGATAAACGAGCGGCGCCCCGCCCCTCCCTCTCCCCTCCCGCCCTCCATGGTTTCTGCTCCAATGTTCCTCGCCCCCCTTCCGCCGCCCCGACCCCCCACCCCCCTCCCTCCCCTTCCTTTTTCTTCTTCCGCACTCCTCCATCCCCTGCCACCCCTACCCTCGCCGCCCTCCTCCTCCGCCCCCCCCCGTGCCCCTCTCCCGCCCCTTTCCTCCCGCACCTCCCCCCGTCCCCCCCCCCTCCCCGCCCCTCCCCCTTCTCTGCCTGCCCTCCTCCCCCCCGCCCCCCCTCCTCAGGCTTCGTGTCTGGCCCCGACGGAGGAGCCTGAGCCTCGCTTTCCCTTTGTCATCCCCATTATCACGTTCCTGCGTCCCCTCATCAAGGGAGGAAAAACCACTCGGACCGGACAATGGGCATCTGCTGAACGGACCTGGGCGTTTACCAAACAGCTCTGCCCTGTTGGATTCTTTCCTTGGGTGCGTTTGCTAAACGGCTTCGCTTGTCGGGGTGATTATTCGGGGGGGGGGGGGGGGGATTTTTTGCCCTCTACCTCAGACACCCACGTCCCGTCCCCCATCGCCGTCGGGTCTGCTCCAGAGCTCACGAAGGCCCAGCAAGGTCGTGTGGCCGCCTGGCCCCTCGGGTGCCCAAAATGCTTCAGGGCTGGCAGCTGCTGGCCGTCCAGGAGGGAAGGATGCCAGTCTTCTGGAACCTCCGCCGAGCGAGCTCGGACTGCCGAAGCATCCCCTCGCCACCGTGCTCCCACCATCCCGTACGCTGCAGGAGCTCGCGCGACCAGCGCGCCTGGTTGACCAAAAACCGCAAACGTCTCCAGACCTGTCGCACGGGCTTTGCGCCTCAAGCCCTACTGGCGGGTTCCGCTGACGTGCTGCCAGACCCGGAAGTGGCAGAGAGAAGCAGACGCAGACATGCAGGCCCGTTCTTGTGTGCTTGTGTACGCTCGAGCTCGTTCATCCTGTCGTCCGGAGTGAAGTCTTCTCTATATCCGGGCCGCCCTCCCTTCTGAGAGTTCGTCTCTTTTCTCGCAGCCCGATCCAGCCCTTCGACTTGTGCGTTCGCCGAGCACACAGCAAACAGTATGTGTGTGTGTGTGTTCGAGCATCTCGTGCCCCAGCTGCCGGTGCACCACCGTACAGTCAACCCTGGTAATTAGGACGCTCGATTTCCCAAGGGTACCCTTGCATCCTTGCCTTTTCGGTCATCTTCGGTTCATCCTCAATCACTTTCGATGGCCAGCCCCGTTCAAAGAGCTTCGGCATGGGCGTCCAAGGCCCTTGCATCATCACCGCGCATCCTTACTATATGGGTTGAGTGTACTCGGACGGTGCGTCGGCACCGCAGCGGGGACTTGTTGTCCAGGTCCGCATGCGGCAGGGGGCTGGACGACGCCGAGGGGTGGCGCGGCGCGTCGGGGGCGCTGTCCCCAGGACGGCTGCGCCCGAAGACAACGAGAGCCGCACCGCTCGCACGGCGGCAGCAGGGCGGGCAGTAATGGGAGGTGACCCTTTGGGGCCCTTCTCGTCCCCCCCCCCAATACCATGCGCCCGAAGGGCGCTGAAGGGCTCCGCCAAGCCGCCCTGCCAGCAAATCCGCCAGGAGCTTGGCCTGAAAGCTCGGCGCCCGCTGCAGCCGCAGCGCCGCCGTGCGAGCTGGACACATGGACGCGCAGGTCAGAGACAGCTGTACGGATCCACCGTGTTCCTCCTCCACCCTTCTATCCATCATAGAGAAGCGGAGAGCAGTCAGAGGAGGCGGGAAGGAGGAGGGAGGTGGAATTACTGCTCGGCTCCCAACTGCTCACCATGTTAAGTGTGGCTGGGGGGTCGACAACGAAAGTCTGCCTCCTGGCGTTGGTTGCAGATTACACTGGCCTTTCGAAGAACGAGCTTGCCGAGGCACTGACTCGATGGCCATCTGTCTCGAGCTTCCCTCGCATAGCCCTGGCTCATCCAGAGGGTTTTTTTTTGGGGGGGGCGCGCGCGCGCGGCGGCGCGAGGCGTGGCGCCGTGCCGCCGGCGCTCTCTCTGCGCAGGGGGGAGGGGGCGGCAGCGGCATGGACGCGGTGCTGTGCCGCCGCTTCCGCCCGGAGGAGTACCACCGCCGCTTCCTGGAGCAGGGGCTCCGCCCCGACGGCCGGGCCGCCCGCGAGCGCCGGCAATGCAGCCTGCAGCGGGGCCCGGTCACCTGCGCCCACGGCTCCGCCTCGGTGCGGCTCGGGCGCTCTGCGGCCGTTGCGGGCGTCCGCGCCGAGGTTCGGGCGGGCTGGGCCGCGAGAGCTCTGATCGGAAGTTGATCGACCTCCTACCCTTCAGTCGGGCCCGTCCCTCTACAGGAGGAATATTCAAAAATAGTTCAATAATAGTCTGGGGACTATTTTTGGAGCATCTTTAAACCATTTTGGAGTATTTTTTAATATTTTTTTGTTCGTCGAAAATCCTCCTCTAGGGGGACACGCCCGACTTAATCCTACCCTGACACGTCGATTAGCGAAGTGGCCGTTTTCTCGGTTTGCGAGAAGGCGTCGCGGTCGTCCTTTCTGCGGGTCCGTCGGTTTCGGCCCCAGGCCGTTTTCACCAGGGGTGGACCAAAACGGTGCTTTGGCGATTTCGTGGGCCGTTTTCGTTTCGATGTCGTTTTGCAGCAATGGCGAATTCAAGACAAAACGAGGAAAAACGAAAACAAAACGAAAACAAAAATCACCGTTCAGGTTCAGCCCTGCTTTTCACGACAGGGTGGTTTTGGTTTGCTGAAGGGAGGCTCGTCCACCGCCGATGTGAGGAGACGGAGATACCGGCGCCGCTGCTCGTCTCGGATGGCCCTCGTCGCTACGGCTGCACTCTTTTCGAGATTCTGGTCCGGATGCACCCCAGGAGAGGTACGGGCCCAGACACGATCGCGTCGCAACAAAAATCAGGACGGGAAGTTTTTGGCTATTTTCGGCCCCGGTGGGCCCTCGCCGGCCCCCGCGGGACCGTCAAAAAACGACTCAGGACGAAAAACCGGTCCCGGGGACAGGGTCGGGACTTCCAGGGACGCCGTCCCGAAAAATCCGGGCGTCGTATGTCTGGGGGGGGGGCAGTAGCCGTATCGATGCCTGTTTGTCACCCCAAAGGCAGAGGTTTTCGGACGTTGCCGTCAGTTCGTGGAGGTTTTGCTGCCTCGGGATGCGTCCCTGCAGCTGCGCCTCGCCGAGCGCGTTCCGGGGGTGCCGGAGTCGTCCGGAACGGTCCCCCTGCGCGGAAGAGTGACCCTTCGCTGGAGTGGCCTTTTCTGGTGCGGGCCCACCACCGGCGTGCGCGCTTAGATGTGCCCTCCCCGCGGCCCTGCAAGGCCGCGGCCTTGCAAGGCCGCGCACAGAAGATCACTCCTGCGGCCCCCCCCCCGCGGCCGTGCAAGGCCGCGCACCAAGGATCACTCCGGCGCGTAGCTGGCTCAGAGGAAGAGAGTGTGCTTGGCCAGCGCGGGACCCGCGAACTGGCACGCTCTGTGTAGGGTGGGGCTTAGGTGTTGTAATCTGTGTGGTGCGGTGAAGTTTGACCGCACTCGCGCGTGACCACCTCAAGTGGTCGTGCACGCATCCCACCCACCAAACGGCAACGTGTTGGTAAAACCCCACTGGGAGGCGACAAGATGACGATGACGATGATGAATGACGATGATGACGATGATGACGATGATGACGATGATGATGATGATGATGATGATGATGATGACGATGACGATGATGATCATGATCATGGCGTCGATTGCGACGATAACATCGACGACGAGACGACGACGACGGTGGTGATGGTAATGAAATTGTCGGTGGTGAGACTTACGGGCCTAACGATGATGTTGATGATGATGGTGATGATGATGATGATGATGATGGAGAAGATGATGGTGATGATGATGACGACGATGATGATGAGGATGATGGCGGTGGCGGCGGCGGCGACGACGACGACGATTCTGATGATGATGATGATGATGATGATGATGATGATGATGATAATGATGATGACGACGATGCAGATGCAGACCATGTTGCTGGTGAGGATTACGGGTGAGCGCGCGCAGGATTTGACGAGGGCGGCGACATCGACGATGACAGTGGCTGCGGTGGCGATGACGACGACGACAGCTGCGATAATGATGGTGTTGATGATGTCGCTGACAACGATGACGGTGACAATGATGATACCAATTGTGCTCAGGATGATGGGGAATTATGCGTTCGCAACATGCATGCACATACATCTGCATTTTGTAACACATACATAATCACATACACACTCATACATACATACATACGTACGTACGTACGTACGTACGTACATACATCCATCCATCCATCCATGCATGCATGCAGACGCACAAACAGACAGACAGTCAGACAGACAGACAGACACACATTCATGCATACATACGAGAGAACGCATTCTGTGCTCGCTTGGAGGGGGGGGTCGGAACCGGACCCCCTTCCCCCCTGGATGGAGGGGGGGGGTTCGAGCCCTCCCCTCCCCCTCCCTCCCCTCCCGTGACGGATGGGGGGGGGTTCGAACCCCCCTCCCCCTCCCACCTTTCCTCTCTCCCTCTCCTCGGGCCAGCGCCTGCGTCGGCGGCGGCTGGCGGTGGCAGCGAGAACGACGATTCCCTTTTCTGGACCGGCGCCGGCGCGTGCGGTGGCGGGCGGCGGCGGCGGGGAACGTCGACGAGGACGACGGTGGTGGTGGTGGTGGTGGGTTGTGGTGGTGTGGTGGTGGCGGTGGTGGTGGTTGTGGTGGTTGCCGTGTGGTTTGTTGTGGTGGTGGTGGTTGTGGTGGGTGGTAGTGCTGGTGCTGGTGGTGGTGGTGGTGGTTTGGTGGTGGTGTGGTGGTGGTTTGTGGTGGTGGTGGTGGTGGGTTGGTGTTGGTGTGGTGATGGTTTGTGGTGGTCGTGGTTGTGATGGTGGGTTGTGGTGGTGGCGGTGGTTTGCGGAGATCGTGCTGGTGGTGGTGGT